AGCTCTAGGGAAAGAGCCCAAGGACAGCATCCTTAGTTACTCCCCTTTCCATCCATGGGATCTTAACCACAATACTCAGGGAGCTTGCCCTCCATAACCTGGAAAGAGCAGACCTACACAGAGGAGCATTTGTTAAAACTTTTGAACCTGGGCAAGTAGGGCTCGTGGACACACTTCCCACCTAGACATACGAGGCCATGAGGCCCCCACCCCCTTCAGCATCCTCACTCTCCATCCAGGGAGTCAGGTGGGAGCTGATGGGAGGGAAAATCTGACAGTAGGGACAGGAAGGGCCTGTGGCTTCCCTGCCAGTCACCGCATGGTGATAGGAGAGCAGTGGCCCCCGCCTGCTCCTGCCTGTCCCTGGCAGCGCTGCTGGAAAAACCTTCCATGTCCAGAGGGGCTCTGCTTTGCAGACTGATAAGAAAGAAGGGAAATAAATAGCCTGAGTAGCACATCCTCACTGGCCTGAGGAGCAGCACCTCTTGAGAATGTCTCTTCCTGCCTCTGTGGGTGCTGGGAAAATGGTGGAGCGAGCAGAATTTGGGTGCATCAGGAGGAAGTACTGCCATGTCACATATGGACTTCCAAATGGACTCCAAGCTAAGGGGGCACGCTGACATAGTGTGATGCCCAAGAACTGAGATCCAGCAGGGGATTATTGGACAGGACTGGGTTAGCCTCTGAGCCTGAGGCTTCTGAGTTTCTAAAAGGCTCATAATGGAGGATGGTGCCAAATGTCCTGCCCCCCTCAAACCCCTGAAAAGGGCAGGACTGGAGCAGACGGCTGGGGATGGACAGTCCAAGGGGAAGCGCAGACCAGGAGAGCCAAGAGAATCAGAATCAGAACGAGTTTTCCAACTGACACATCCTCTCTCAATCCTTGCCTAATAGCCTCACCTACCCATGACCAAGCATCCTGGTTTGCCACGAAAAGCCCATCATCCCTGAGGACAAGTGTCTGGTTTGTCACCCTGCCTCCCCTCACACTGATCAGTCACCACCAGGGGACCCAGATGTTGCTGAGTGTGCATGACCAGCTTCACCTCTGTGGGCCGGGAGGAGCTTGGCAGAGCCTGCTTTAGAATTCTCAACCCCTCGGACTCACGTCTCCTTTGTTTTCAGGTCACACAACGTAGAGGGAAATTGGAAGGCTATATACCAGTTTACAGAGGAATTGGTGCAGAAGTTCCAAAAGTATGGCCTCTTCATGCTGTAGGGGGTCTGCCTGTGCCAAGCAGCAATACAGCTGCTTAGGCTTGATGGACATGGGAGGCCCTTGGGTCAGGAGCACAGAATCCTTAAACGGGAAAGAAGGAAGATCACACTGGGTCCATTGGGTTTTGGCAGCTTCGTTGGCTCCTGCCTGGGAGTTAGGCCACTTTGCAGGGAACACAGTCTGTCCATGAGGTCCTTACAGGGTGGGAAAGGAAGTCAAGTCAGGCTGACCAGTAACTCAGTAACCCAACACTTGGTTAAATGGTGGTGAGGGCAAAAATGAAAGGACAGAGTCTTGCCATGGTAACAAAGGACAAAGCAAGAATAACTAGGGAAAGAAATCAAGGATGCCCTCCCGCAGCATGTGGAAACTTGAACTAGTTCTTGAAGGATGGGAAAGACAGAGTAACAGGCATCATCAAGGAGACTTCTTGTGTAGTGAGTGGTCCAGATCACAGGGTTGACTCTGGAGGGCTGGGAGGTGATGCTCCACAGGTGAGCCTGGGCCCAAGGCAATAGAGGCTCATAATGCCCGGCTGAGGGGTTTGGATATCTTCTGTGAGCATCAGAGAGCTATGGATGATTCTTGAACAGAGGTCTGACATGCTCAAAGCTGTGCTTCAAGAAAAAAATCTCCGTAGTTGAGGGTAAAATGTACAGGGACAAAAGCCAGGACCCCTAGGAAGCTCAGCTAGGGATCTATGGTACCAATTTAAGTAAGGGATAATGAGGGTGAGGGCACCAGAGGAGAATGGCCATGGAGAGCAAATGGATGGATGTGATATGAGTGGCCACCAAGAGGGAGAATGATTTCTTGGAGATGAGAGGGAGGTGAAAAAGTAGGTGGGAAGGAAGGAAGGGTGGTGAGTGTGTAAAGACCTTTTCAGTAGAAAAGAGGTCCATGGGAAACCTCATGCAGGGGTGTGTAGGCATCCATTTCCTTGTGAATGCATGGTGTGCATGCGTGTGTGTCACTTTAGGGCAGGATAGGGATGGAGCAGGATGCGATCCTGGTACTCCTTGCTAGGGAGGAAACACATCTTACAGGACTCAGAACTTCCCACTCAAGTTATGGGAAGTTCCAGAGCTTGGAAAATAGGCTCCCAGAGGAGTTCATGGGGAGCAGGGAAATGGGCATGCACACCTCTTCTCTCCAGCTGCTCTTTAGCATCTTTTCGCCTGTCATTATGGCCTCACACTAGCCCATGCTTCCTCCCCAGCCCAAAACTGAGGATATCTTTTATAACCTTTGGAACAGATGCCAACACCCTCATGCCTCTCACCTCGGATAGGTAAGTGATGCTTCAATCCCCTAAGGCAGCACCAGCAGGCCAGGCCATAGGACAGCCAGAGGACTGAGGGGCTCCCTGAGGCTGCAATGGGGGGCCCAGCTGGGCTGTCTGGGCTGCACTCAGTGCCCAGTGACAGCCCTAGATCCCTGGCTCCCAGGGACCCTTCCAGGCCTGACACTGGCTGAATCCTGTCCTACTAGACACTCTCCTCCTCTCTCAGCCCAGCCCTCCATCTGCCCTCAGTCCTTCCCTCCACGCTCGACCCTTTCACTAGAACAGGCTGTGAGGATTCCCAGAATCGGGTGGAATAGAGGTGAGGTCCTTTATATTCACTGCTGGGCACCAACTGTTGTGTGTCATTCTCTACCCTGCGCCACTGGGTAAAGAGACAGAATCAGAACAAGGGAGGAAGGGATGGGTGGTGTCCAAGTGTTGGTGCTTCATTGGAGGGGAGCATGCCCAGTGGTCAGTTGATCTGAAGGACTGGATCCTGAATGCCAGGTTGGGACAGGGTGCTGGAAAAAGGCAAGATAGGCCCACATCCCAGGTGGGTCACAGGTGGGATGTGGTAAGTTTGTGGAGCTTCTGAGTGCTGGGAGGTTAAGATTCTCATGGAGACAAATGACTAGAACCCACCTGAGAGTGGGTGGATTACCAAAGAGAGTCCCAGGACCTGTGGCACTGGGAAGAAATCAGGAGCAGAATGAGCAGAGATGGCCGGCCCTCAGGGGAGGGAGCCTGGTGGCACCAGGGCATGAGGACAGCACTCCCAAGTCTGACCCTGAGGAGCAGGGAGCACACGCGCACTCTGTGGGCTGGGTGACCATGCCTACACATGGTTTGCAGGTAGGGGAGACAGACCTGTGTGGGTTTGAGGTAGTAGAAATCCGTTCCACTGGAGGGACTCTGGCAGAGGAGGGAGAGAGACAGAGAGAGGCAAGGGTGCTCGGCCTGGGCTTCTGGAGGAGCAAGTACCAGATAGGGGGAGGAGGACACTGCCACCCAGGCCCCATGAAATTAGAGAAGCTATGGGTAGGCTCATGGAGGACCTCCGTGACCCTCTCTGGGACAGGAGGTTGAAGCGCACTTCCTGGGTAGTGTTCAGGACAGGAGTGGGCCCAGGAATGGGAAAGATGTGAAACCCCATGTCTTTGGGACAGTGTTATTTTTAAGAGGAGGTGGTCCTAATCAGGATCCTGGTGTCCCTTTCATGAACAACACTGGGAGCAGGGCTGGAGGGGCAGTTCTCCCAGGGGAGGGCCAGCTCAGACAAGAGAGATGCCAGGGTAAGTGGGTCCTGGGCAGGGACTGGGGTGGGCTCAGAGGGGCGGCACATTGGGGAGTGCAGGTGGCCAGTGGGAGATCTCCTTGTGGATCTTCCAAACTGTGGTGAGAGGAGGAGAGGGTGTTTGCATTGGGCTGGACAGGGCAGTGCTGGACCTGGAGCCCTCAGATCTCACCCCTGGGCAGCAACTCTCCTGCCATGGCATGAACCCAGTCTTCAGGGCGCATGTTGTCCTTAGCCTTGCTGTGCCAGCGCACCTCGTAACACAGGGTCAGCCTGACATAGGCCCCCCCACGCCCTCCCAAGTTCCAGTGCCAACCTGAGCTGTCTGCACTTAACAGGGCTCAGTCTGGGGGTCTCCATGCCTTCTGCTCTTTGGGAGCAGCTGATGTCCAGCAGCCTTAGGCCTATAATTCCACAGCTTCTTACCTCCTAAGCACCCATCCAGAAGGGGAATGCCTTGGGGGGACTGAGTCACCTCAGGGTGGGGCAGGCCAGTGGTATGAGAATGACCTTTCCAAACTCAGCCTGGTGTGTGGGAGGACAGTATCCTCCCCAGGGGACCCTGGGGCTGAGCCATGCTGCCAGTCACACTGTGATGGGATCACAGTCAGGATGTCCCCATGCTAACCATGCACAGTCAAGGCATTTCCACGGAGTGAGACAGTGCTGAGCACAGAGAAAGCCTGGCCATAACCCTGGGACCAGCAAAGCAGCATCCCCTCCCCAGCCTGCTCATGAGATGGGGCACTGGGAAGGTGGCAACTAGGTTGGCCAATGCCAGAGACATAGGGCAGAAGGGCAGGAAAAGGGCTACTTGGCCCTCTCCCATCTGGGTGGGTCTGCAGGTGCAGGGGGTCCAGGACAGCCCGGGACTCTCTGTAAAAGGCAAGTCCTCATTCCAGCTCCCACCTGCTCTGATCTTTTTCAGCAAAAAAATCCAAACCGGCTTGAGGCAACTTGCGTCTACAGTGCCTGGAGGAGTCCCAAATATTCATAAGGGATTTCAAAAGGTATCAACTCTAGAGCTCAGAGAACTGACTGCTTTATCAAGCTCTTAGAGGATCATGGGATCTTCTCACACCCCCACACCTCCATTTTCCTTCTTTGTGTTTCAGGCAAGAGAGGAGATCCAGAGGGTATACTACCAGGAAGGTAAGCTGCCTGGTGACTTCTTTGCAGTCAGGTCTGGGGACAGAGCCTCAGTGAGGTATGGGGCTGGCCCTCTCCGGTCACACCCAGGCACTGACTCCTGGAGCTAGTTGCTTGTCCTGAGCTGCAGCTTCTTGCTCTGGGCAGTGAGGCTGAAAAACACCCCTAGTGATGTTTCTCGGCACAACATGGGGTCATGTGTGCACCTTCTAGGCTCATAGGAAATATGAGGGGCTGGCCCTGGAGTAGGGCTGCATGAAGAGGAAATGGGAAAACCCAAAGGGGCTCCAGTTTAAGACGAGAGCTTGATCTTCTCCCTTGCCGCCCACACATTCTGGCCCTGACCCTGACTCCTCTCTTCACCTCCTTGCCTTTCATTGATGCTCCTGCTCGGTGTTTCCCACAGTGGAAAAGGCTGTGCCCAGCCCAGAACCATCTTCACCTTGACTGTAGGCTCTAGGAACATGTGTGGGCCCAAGGAAAGGCATTGAGCTAGGTGGGGAGTCTGCTGCCCAAGTGCCTCTGACCTCATGCCCTGAACCTGCGTTTGCAGACGGCCGCAAGAGTGCCACAGCTGAGGTCTGGAGCTGGGCCAGGCCTGCACGGACCTGTGGGAATCTTGCACGGTGGGTGTGGTGTGCCTGCTCCTGCCTTTGCTCATCTGGAAGGCTATGCTCATCCAGTGAAATTGCTGGAGTTGACTTTCAGGGCAAAGGTTGTACTGTCTGGTAGAAGTGACAGTTCTGTAGGAAGAACCCTGAGCTGGGCTCAGTCTCCTCATTTGCAAAGTGGGTCCTGGGCTAGGGCCCCTTCTTGTCCCAGGAATAAGCAATGCAGCCTTCCAGGGGTGTGGATGGCAGATGTTCGGGTCTGGGCGTCCGCTCCTCAGGAGGGTGAGTGTGGGGAGCAGTGCCGGGACCCTGGCAGCCTGTGGCAGCTCATCCCCGGTCCTTCAACCAGCGTGGCCACTCTTCCTCCTGCAGATTACAACATCATCAGCCTGGTTGTTGCTTTGTCGGCTGGGAAGCTGTCACCAACGGCCCTTCAGGAGACTAAAAATGAAGTGAGTCCAGTCTGTCCTACCAGCACTGTGCTCCCTGTGTTTGCTGTTTGGGTATTTTATACTCAAGGTCTTCTTTCTCTTAGGCTAAGGCAGCTCAGAATTATGGGGCCAAGATATACCTCGTCGGAATAAAAGATTATTCTAAAGACCAGGTAATTCTGAACAAGTAACCAGGTGTCATCTGTGAGTCTAGCTGGCAAAAGGTTTCAAAGGTGGCTTTCACAGGGTTGCCCAGAAGATGGGCCTGTAACCCACCCCAAGTGTCTGCACAGCAGACGGTCCTGCAGAAAAAGTAAAAGTGTTATGTAAAACACACACAACAGAGGTGACAGTGGAAGAACTTTCCATTCTCTGAGGGTGGACTGCTGGCAGATGCCAGGGTCTGGCCCTTGGTGCCTAACATGGCATGAGGCAAGAGACTGTCCCCTGGAATGGTCACCTCTGAGTCACCAATCCCTGGCTGTGGGCCCATGAAATCTTCTCTCCCTTGCAGCTGGATAGTATCGCGGAGAGGAAGAACCAAGTATACGGAACCAAAGGCTATACATCCCTGCAAGACATTGTTTTCCCAGTGAGTGTGCACCTAAATTGAGCAGGGGGAAGGGGTGGCTTTAATCCATGCCCCTGCCAATCACTGTCCCTGAACCTGCCATCCCTCTCTATTCCAGCTCGTGCTGAATGCCTGTAATGAGATTACGGGTGAGGACGCTTACACGTACTGTGTGGGAGGTAAGAGCTGGAGCCACTCTCTCTCTCTCTCTGTGTGTGTGTGTGTGTGTGTAGGTAAGAGCTGGAGCCACTGTGTGTGTGTGTGTGTAGGTAAGAGCTGGAGCCACTGTGTGTGTGTGTGTGTGTGTGTGTAAGAGCTGGAGCCACTGTGTGTGTGTGTAGGTAAGAGCTGGAGCCACTCTGTGTGTGTGTGTGTGTGTGTGTAGGTAAGAGCTGGAGCCACTCTGTGTGTGTGTGTGTGTGTGTTTTGAAGGTGTATGAGTATGTGTTACCTTTACGTTTGCAGGGCAAGAGTTTGTGTTGAAATGTGCAAGTGTGTTGTGTTGGGGTGGTACATGGGTGTTATTAGGGCTAGTGCGGGGATGCTCCCATGTGTGGTATGAGCATATGGTCTGCATGCATGCATGTGTGGGGTGTGGGCTGCATGTGGGGTGGTATGAGTGGACTGTGCAGTCTATGTGTGTGGTGTAGATAGGAGGGGTACTTGCATGGAAGTTTGCAGGGCAAATGGGTGTGCTCTGGGTGTATATTAACGTGTTAGTTTGCAGGGTATACGTCAAGGGTTGTGGGGTGTGTGTGTGTGTGTGTGTATGTGTGTGTGTAATGACTTTTTCCCCAATACTACTGAGACATAATCGACATGCAGCTCTGGATAAACTGAGGTATACCACATAATGATTTGACACACATGTATTGCAAAAGAAGTAGCACAGTAAGTATAGTGTAATTACTTTTTAAAAAACCAGAAAGAATGTATTATAAAAGTCCTCCAACCTTCCCCATGAGGCTGAAGGCTGGCCAGGTCCCCTCTCAGGCCTTTCAAGCTCTGGACTCACAGCCCCGTGAGCTGAAGACCAGAGTATAGAGTGTCTCAGAGGCTTGTCCCCAGAGGAGCTGCATGATAGCTATGCAGATGGGTGTAGAGCAGAGGTGGCATCCTATGTGGTCATGGATTGGGCACTTGAGATCAGATCCTGGCCCTGTGCCTGCCAGGAGTTGGGTGTAAGCCACATGTCCCATCCTGACCCCAGAGTCCATCTCTGTAATGTTGGGGTAGTAATGCCTAGCTCACAGGTGTTTGTAGGTTTAAGTGAGAAAGTGTACAGAATGGCACAGAGTAGATGGTCTGTTAGAGGGAAATGCCCTTTTAGATGAACACACAAGTTGAAGCAATTGCCTTGTGGTTCCTTCTGGCTCCCGGCTGTGGCGGCAAAGACATACTTGCTTTTGTTTCTCACGCAGAGCCTGATCACTCCATGTGCAGGCAGCTGAACCTTCCCTTCCCTGTCCATACTGATTACAATATGACTCATTAGTTTACATCTCTGTCTTGCAGAGCATTTGCAAGCTTCACTTTGATCTGATGGCAGGGTGAGGAAGCCCCAAAGCAGGAGGAATTAGGTCTGCCTGGTCCAAGGTTGCACGGGCACCTGAGGAATTGTTTCTCGAGTTAACTAACCTTGGGCAAATAAGCATCAGGTTGGAACTGGCCAGGCCTGGGCTGAGAGGGAGTGGTGGAGTCTAAGGCCCTTGATTTTGCAGCAAGAAGGCCTGCATAATATCCTGGCTCACTCCCTGGGGCTGGGTCACTAGTTGTCCTTTCTGTACCCTCTGGTGTCTGCTCAGGGACCGGGAGTCACTTGGGGATCCGAGCACCCTGGTGAAGGGCTAGAGCCCAAAACTGCACCTCCGCATATTAGTGTCTTCCACTCTGGCTGAAGGAAGTATTGTGAATCTTAGCTAAGTTGATGTGGTCCACAAAGGTTCAGGAAGAGTCAGGGGGAAGAGCAGTCAGCCGCAGACTTCTGGAACTACCACTAAGACGGGACATGTCCTCCCATTTGGGCTTCTCCAGTGCAGGGTCCTGGGCCCCTTGAGGGCCTCACTCCAGTCTGGCCTTGCTTCTCAGGTCTCCAGTCTGCCACAGACACAGAGAAACCTGGGGAGGAGGGAACAGGTGCCCCGGTGGAAGTTCCACAGGGGACACACCGGGCAAGGGTCCTCACGTAGGCCTGAGGCAGAGCTGGCTCAGTCTGGGTGTCTGACTCCTCTCTCATTTATAAGGCTGGGCCTGCCCCCTTTAGGTCTTTCAGGTCAGAAACACATGGTGGGCTTTGCCCCATGTACAGGATGAGGCTGGGTGCCTTTAATGGGCTCCATGGGTCATGGGCAATGAGGAGGGGCCCCTCGAGGGCTCAAGGCCCAGCCCAGGCTCCTGAGAGGAGACCCTCAGTGGCACCAGGTGAACAGCTGGCCCTGAGGGTTATACAGACGTTAGTTCAAATACAGCTCCTTCCTCATAGGAGTCTCCTGGGAATTCTGTTTTTGGGTTGTCTGCCATAATTGAGAACTGAGGGAAGACAGCACTAAGCCCTTCCTCACACAGACCTTTGCATGTTCCCTTTGCAGACCCCTTCACTGCTGATTTTTATGGGCCGGGTTTAAGTGATAAAAAAGATGACATCATCTGTCGAATCACAGGGGACACTGGTGTCGTGGGTAAGTGGCCCCCTTGGTGCATCCAGTGACAGCAGCCCCATAGCAGGCTTACTGGCCCTCAGGGAGCCAAACCTTCAAAGCCCTTGCTGACCATTCACTGTGGTCCCTGTAGGGTAGAGGCCACATGGACAAGTAGAAGGAGGGAAGGTTGGGAGCCTGGACACCTGCCATGCATACCAGGAAGTAATCCATCCCCAGCACCACCATGCACCTGGAAGCAGCCTTTCCTGAGCCCCAGCTGGGGGTGGGGCAGGGTCTGCCCTCAGAGCTGCCATCCCCCTGCCTTTCCTGGGCTCTCACTTCCCTTGAGAGACAAGGACCCAAATCCAAGTGTCTGCTGGAGGTGAGTAGAGGCAGCCCCAGTTCTCCTGAGTCTCTGCCAGGAAAAGAGTGACATAGTTCACAAGGTCATAGCTAGTCTGACAACTGAGTCAGGGCCAAAGCTGGTCCTCATGGAAATGAACCATTCTGTAGGGAACAGCCCTGACCAGTGGTCACAGATCAGGATGTAAACGGTGCTCAGCAGTGAGATGATGCCGCAGCTACTAGTTATGGAACCTCAAGTGTCCTGAGTGTCACCTCCCGCATTCTCACAAAATAACAGAAATACCAGGAAGTAATCCATCCCCAGAGGCTGATGTCTGTCAGAGACGCAGCTCTGCTTGCCAAGGGCAGACAAGAGGGGAGACATGGCTGTGGAGACATGCCCACTCACATGATTCTCTCTGGTTTTCTCCTAGAAAAAGAACCCATCGAGGTGAACTCGGAGTTCATAATTTGCCCTGCCCATATATTTCAGAAGGAAGGAGAGTAAGTGCCCCGGGTGGGCCACATGGTTAGATTTATGCACCACGATGTGTCCAGCATGGGGGATGCCACCTCTGCTGGAGCTGCACTTGCCTGTTCTGGGAGAGCTCAGGGACATCCTCTGCACCAACCTGTGCCTGTGGTCCTGAGGGGCTCAGTGACGCCCTGTCTCCCAGGCTCTACCAAGGAGGGCAGGATGTAGGAGATGATGGGCCCCAGGGATGGTACCTATGGTCCAGGCAGTCTTCTCAGAGCTAAGCCAACATAGTCATATGGAAGAGTTTGGATGGTGATACCAAGCAGCCAGCCTGGTCACATAGCCCATAGCCACCAGGGCGTCTGCCCCACGCAGGGCTCCTCACGGCCTAGTCAGCCTTCATTGCAGAGGTTGACCTCATCTCGCTTGGGGAGAGCTCTCCTGTCCCATGCTATCGGCTCTTGGCAGACCACATGCCTGATGTTCAGTCATTACACTGAGGACAGCTATGCAGTACAAGTGGAGTAGGTGCAAGAACTGTGTCTCTCCGGGCTAGCAGTCACCATCTGCCATTTCTGTGCTTTAGGGTGGTCGAGATTCAGTATAGCCTGGACAAGGGCATCACCTTCGTCAATGGAAGCCTTAAAGTCATAGGCCTGAATTGTGTGAGTACCAGGGTGGAGACGCCTCCATGCATATTAGAGTCCCTGTACTGGAGGGAGAGAGAGTCTCAGAGGCAAGAGATGAAAACAATGTCCTAGGCAGGCCCAGAATGTAGCGTGGGCAGACAGGCAGCTGAGAGGCACCTTAGAGCCAGCTCTAGGCCCTTAGCCCTTCACCAGGGAACGGTGCCCCTGCTCAGGCTTGGGAAGTACCCTGGGAGTGCCTCCACGAGATCATCT